TAGGAGGAAAAAATCAGCATTTTCGACATCTGCTTTTCTTGCCGAAACAGCTCGGGAGATATGCAGTGTGTACAGGGAAGGTGTCTTACATAGGTGTGTCTAATGCACAAAAATGGTTCGCAAAGCTTGAAATAGGCGACTTTAAACTTGAAGACACGCCTCGAAGCGGACGACCTGCAGAATTCGACCAAGAGCGTCTGAAGGCACTATTGAAGGAAGATGGTCGCCAAACAATTCGTGTATTGGCTGACTATTATAATAACTTAATTAATAATTTATTATTGCAATTATTGCTTTTTGTTCAGAGAAATCTTTGTGAAAAACTCTACGAACTTATGTTACAACCTAATAATAGTATACAAACAGTCCAAAACACTGGGAATCGCTCCAACGAGCTGTAACTTACGAAGTCGCCTCAACAAGAGGAGAGCAACCCTTAGAGATCTCCTGTTGGTCACCTTCCTGTAAACGGCTCAGCGGTGACTAGATATCTGGAAAGCCATAAAATCCGATAGATTTTGGTAGCATTCGCTGATTGAAAGTAGCGTGTAGATGGGATTGAGGAAGTGACTGTTTGAATCAACATACTCTCGACCCTCAATGTCTTGAGGTGGTATAACCGCAAGTGGATTTCTTTTGCACATGCATGGTTCGGGGATTGCATTTTGGACCGATACTAGCCCAGGCCAGCGAAGTCTCCCATCCTTCAGGGTTGATCATTGGTGCCAGAGTCGTTTGGGAGGGTAGAAGCAACTTATTTGTACCTTAGCCGACCGCAATTCATTGTGTTACCCACATATGTACGCATTCATCGTCACTAGAATCCTGAATGGAGGTCGAATGCCTTGGCGCACCCCAAAACGGGACGATTAATGCGAAGAAATGTTATCTCCTGTCCGTTGATATCCTTGCTATCGATAAGGTGAGAGTGAATACCAGGGGTGTTTAGGGAGCTGGCTCCTATATAGAAGTAAGGGTAGGAATACTCGCTTTGAATTTGTTGAGCGAACTAAGTGGATGATCCCTCGGCCAAATAAGTAATTAAAATAGACGGCTAAACAATTTATTAGATGTAGTAGTACAAGGCACAGCTCTTCACCTTTCCGCTATCCTTTTTTGAGTTTTTGGACGAACCTTCCCCCAGTCCAACCCGGACCTTCTGGCCATTATGCAGCCAACCATATACTTTTTGTACCAAAGTTTTTGCGTACCTACTCTGAGTTTAACAATATTCCAGAAGCAGTATCGGGAAGACCAGTCTGCATTGAAGATGTTCTCGAAACTCAGTAAAATGCGTACGAGAGATGAGTCTCTGGGTGTTGGTGAGACCATGATGGGAAGGCTTATTGATGGCGGAGCTTACACTATCACTCGATTCCACCAACGTGACAATGTCACCGATGGAAATGTAAGCAGCATTTAATTTATTTTGTAATTCATTTTCTCTATTTGATCTCCCAGTCTCTTCCAATTCATTGAGGTCCAATTTCTGTAATTTGTAAGTGCATTTACAAAAGCCGCCTGCATACCAGAAGTTTTAGGAATGATTCTGGAAAGAGAGGTATTCGGAGATAGGTTCAAAGGTACAAGATTTTGGTGTGGGTATATATTCTCACCCACAGCCTTCTCATTCACGTTTCACGATGACCTTAGGGGCGGAGAGTGGAAAACGGTAGTTGACAGTTGTCCCATATATGTCCTTAAAGACCTCTCCCATCTTGAGCATTTATCATCTGAACCACTGGGGATACGCCATCGAGATGAACATCGGCGAACTCATTTTCCTTCCATTCTCTTACTGCAGAGCATTTCTTTGAGAGTACAACACATCTTTACTGACCTTTGCCTTTTGATCCGAATATTCTGCTTACACTCTGCCCGCATTCAATGCCCCTTCTCGGGGAACTGATCAAAAGCATAACCAATCGTCCTATCATTCAATACAATGTGGACCTCATTACAGCGTCCCCATTTGACTTTCAGATTTACGTTGGAGCCGTCAATTTCGCGGATCACGCTATTACACTGCCACTTAACGATTTGCCCAACAATGATAAGCTCAAGAAAACTCAAGTAAGTAATTTCTAAACTTCTAAGTAAATTGTAACAACTCCTAAATCTCTAACTCCTCGGAGTTACCCACAAGGATGGCGATTTGTGGACAGAACTTCAGCCTCGGACGGGCTCGAACCCCTATTTATGCTTTCTAGTAATGGCTCTTTATCCTCTACACCACTGTGACCCCCTATATTTTGAGCGATAGCTCATCATCACGTCGTAAATGTGAGTTCTGGTAGCCTGTGGGGGTGAAGACCGTTAACAAATCGTGGACAAGCGGGTTCTCGGTAGTGAATGGTGATAAAGAGCACCGTGCC